TTGTGGCTTACCGAAGCGCTACTCGGTTAGCCCTCTAGTTCCCCTTGCAATATACTAAGGGTCGCGACTCTCAGCTAATTGTTGTCTAGCAGTTGTTGTGAGGGAGACGGAGAATCAGAAGAGAGAAGAAGAAATCGGGAGGGGAGGAGAGGAATGCGAAGGTTCTAGAGTTCTAATCGACCGAAACCAGCAAATAAAAAGGCATGAGGCAAAGCAGATCAATGATGTGGGAATTAGGGAAAATAAATAAGGTTTTAATTAATTTAATAAAACTTATAAATTTCAAATTCAATGTCCACCCACTTCGACCCAACTCAATGGAGTTCTGCATTTTCTGCCATATAGTTCTTTCTATGGAGCCATTTTGATACTAGACAGATAGTTCTTGTTGTAGGCAAACTCGATCGTTGGAATGTGATCTTCCCAACAACCTCCAAAGACGAGAACACAAAGCCTTAACAGTTCTTCCAATACTTAAATTCTCATTTCTGATTATCAGTTGGTTTGTCAATGAAATGTAGCGTTGAAATGCAACTGTGTACCCACACATTGTTGGATGTCCTTCCACAATGTAAACGTAAATCTTCTATCTCTATTAGAAACTATGACTTTTGGAATTCCGTGTAATTTGATAATTTCTTTAACAAATAATCTGGCTAATTTTTCCACTGAATCTGTCTGTTTGATTTGCAAAAAGTGAGATGACTTAGTTAATCTGTCAATAATGACCCAAATACTATTATAACACTGTATAGATCGAAAAAATCCAAAAACAAAATCCTTAGCAATTTCTTCTCATTTCCATTCAGGTATCACAATGATTGAAGTAATATGTTGAGTCTCTAATGCTCAGCTTTTACAATCCGACATGCTTGACATTCTCAGAAATATCATTTTTCAAACCTGGCCACCCGAATATCAATTTCAAATCTGTTTACATTTTTGTGTTTTGTGAATGAATTGTGTAGCATGAATGATTTGCTTCATGCAAAATTTCCTGTCGCATATCAAAATCAGCAGGTACACATAACTGTAGCTTGCTTCTGATAACATCATCATCATAAACAGTCATATCAGTCATTTTTTTTTATTGACATTGCTTTGGGAGTTTCGGGTACTCACTATTATCTTTTTGAGTTGTTTTAATTCTATCAATTAACTTTGATTGCGATGCCAACAGATGTAGATACCCACTATCACTTGATCTTTTGGCTTCTAACAGTGAGGCATTACTTTTGTTAATTAGTTTTATCTCTTGAGTAATAATCCAGTTTGCATTGCCTGTGTAATTACAGCTTAACGCATTGACAACTACATTTCCTCGACATGGACAATACTGTATATACAAATCGTAGTCTTTGATCAACTCGAACCATCTTTGCTTCCTCAAATTCAGCTCTTTTTGTGTAAAAGTGTACTTCAAACTTGGATTATCAGTAAAATTTTCGCATTTTACGCTATATAAATAATATTGCCAAATCTTGAGAGCAAATACCATAGCAACTAACTACAGTTCATGTGTCGGATAGTTCCTTTTAAGTGGCTTTAATTGTCTAGATGCATAAGTTACCACGTTTCTATCTACATTAAAACACATGCATCACTGTAAACCTAAATCCCTTTTATGCCTGATGGAAGAGCTAACACTGGAGCAGCGGTCAATTATTTTTTCAACTCCTAAAAATTATGCTCATATCCTATCGTCCACTAAAACTAGACATCTTTTCTCATCAATTGGCAGAACGACATAGCTATCTGTGAAAAATCTTTGACGTACCGATTATAATATCCTGTCAAATAAAAAAAATACTGTGTAACTCTGTAACATTTCTTAGAGTAGGTCATTCCATAATTGCCTTGACCTTCTGAGAATCTGTTGAAATTCCCTGACCACTAATATTGTGTCCCACAAATGCAAACTTCGCAATCAAAATTCACATTTCAAAACTTAGCATATAACAGACTGCCTTAACATTTCCAAAACCATCCTCAAATGCTTGACATGATCTTCATCAGTTAATGCAAATTAGAACAAACGGATTCACATACGGCTTGAGGATTCGATTTATCAAGTCCATAAATACAGCAGGAGCTTTGGTTAAGCCAAAAGGCATAACTAAGAAATAATAGTAATCACACCTGATCTCAAAAGCTATCTTAGTTATATTTGTCTCCTTGACTCTAACCTAATGACTTTCCAATCTCAGATCACTTCAAAAAAATACAATCGCACCTTCTAGTTGATCAAATAGATCATTAATCTTGGGCAAAAGATATTTGTTTTTTATTGTTACCTTATTCAACTCTTGGTAATCAATACATAACTGTCTAAATCCATCCTTCTTTTTGACGAACAATACTGGAGTACCTCAAAGTGATTTATTTGGCCTGATAAAACCCTTGTCTATCAGTTCTTGCAACTAGTATTTCAATTCTTATAATTCCTTCCCAGTCATTCGGTACAGAGATTTCCAAATTGCAGATGTTTCTGGCTACACATCAATGTCGAACTCAACTTCTCGTTTTTGTTGTAGCCCTGACATATCTTAAGGAAATACATCAGGAAATTTTGAAACCACTGAAATATTTTTCAATTATTGTGCATCTTTATTCAACAATTATAATTTTGCTAAAAACACCAATTCACCACTTCGCAGATACTTTCCAACTTTTAACGCACTAATCAAAGACAATTGTGCATTTCAATCATATAGAATATAAAATAGTTTTTCACCAAGCGATTTCAGCTTCACCCGCCTCTTCCAGCATTCAATTGTAGCAAAATGGTTTACCAACCAATCCATTCGCAAAATGACATCAAAGATCTAATTTAACATGATAATCAACTTCGCTGGTAACTTCTTATCATGAACAAGAACATGCACCGTAAAAACCACTTCCCGATGGCATAATCACACACAGTGCAGAATAAAAATGCATAATATAATAGCCTAGAGGGTTGATCGGTGTTCCAATGCTCCCACATAAGGTTCAAAGAAGCCCTCACCAAAGCACCAAATGTAGCAGTGGGAGTCCAACAGAATAGAGGAATCATGTATTCTCTAATGGCGGCACATCTCCGACATCATGAATGACCTTGGTGCATTTCCTCTTCCTTGGGTATGATGCTATCGGCCCAATCTTGATGTATAAATTCTTGTCAAAGAGAGTCTTGGACACTCAACTCTGCCTAGCACTGCTCCTCCTCTAGTTGGATCTTTTGTTATTGCCTTTCTGATTTGTACACCCCCCGTCATTTGAAAAAATAATGGGTTGTGTGCTTGTTGGAATGCTTCGACACATGACAACATGAATCATATAAAAATATATTATTTAGTTTTCTTGATGGATAATTAAATTTCTTTTATTTTGCATAAAATTTATGAAATATTTATTTATTTATTAAAATGATTTTTAAAATAACTTTTTTTATGAATTCATAATGTTAATAATCATTAATTCCCCCATGCATTGTAAGAATAAGATCGACATGATATATCTGTAATTCAAACCCCATAATCTACATAATAAGGTAGTAGTTTCAAGAATCAGCTGCCAAAAAAATATAGCAATGCAACCATTTCAATCTTCCCATTATTTCTATGGTCCCCAAAATAAATCCATAACCAAAGCAATGCCACATCATCAACCATGTAGGAGATAAAATAGAAAATTTTATTCAAATGTACTAATTTTTGCAAAGTCTCCAATCGGACAAAAGTCATTTATTCTAATGTATATCCATAATTAAGAACAATATAAGTAATGTTAAAAGCAAATTTGAAGACTAGCTTTGACCTATATTAATATACTACTTAACGAAGCAAACTTTTAACTGTTTTTAAGTTATCTGCATTTCTTAATATAAAATTACTTATTTTCCAAGGAAAAACAAAAAGGGTTGTGCATCTTAACTATAAAAGAGATTTATGGGTTGGATAAGACATTTCCAAGAGAATGAGTTAATATGAATAATACTGACCGGTCCACTACCACATGGGTAGCTATTTAGCAGTGAAATATTTAAAAGCTTGGTTGGGATGCATAGAATTTTCCATCATGTTGTTCCTAATATGCGTCCACTTCCCGTAGTACTAGGAAATAATCCAATCATAACTAAAACTACGCTGAATATTATCACTTGCTAAAGAAGCATCAAATGATTAACCTTTCTACCTCGTGTAAATGAACAAATATCCTGATAAAACGTTGTCAATGAACTAAAATATTTGTTTCAATATAGTTATCTGCATTAAACATGGTTTACCTTTAAGGCTAAATAAGATAAAATACACAATTTACTTAAAGCAATGTGATTGATACGGGGAAATAATAAATTAATAAATTTGCATGACTTTAAAGGAAGAGATTTAATATAAGTTTGAATATATTAACTTAAACAGCAAGTTTACTGATATAAGATATCAAAGCCAAAGATCACGAGCTACTACAGAAAATGAACTGAAGGGATCGGAAATGAAAGGCGATGAGAGTCAAAGGCCCTAATGAATATTTCATTAACAGCAAGTTGATGCGAGTAACAATAGGCCTTGGAGCAACACCCAATTGTTCTATTAAGTTCAGAAAGAAGAAGATAATTGGTCCAGCTGCCATCTAATTTCATGTAATCACTTAAAATGAGAGCCCCCAAAAGTTCCCTAAAATAAATAACATCATATTTACCATTGAAATAGATAGTCAAACATTCAGCGAATGCAATTGTCAAATGCAAAGGTTTCTTAACCTTCCTTAATCAAACCATTAAGACATTCAAAAGACTCAATCATAGTAAGCATAATAATATAAATTATCGGTTCACTCGAGTATTCAAACTAATCTTGGCCAACTAGTCTACAAAACATGGGCACTATCACATTATCTAAGATTCATTCTACCTCTTGACACAAAAACATAATAAAATCATTGAAATAGTTTTTCATGCAAATTTAAGATTGGTGAAATCAAATGTAAATGCTAGATGATAGAGAGCAAAAGCTTACCCGCAGTTGGATAGAAGATAAAGAAGCAAGCTTCTCCACTTCACGATACCCATACCAAGATCCATCAGACCTTTTCAAATTGAATGTGACTGTAGGACCCAGACAAGAAGGATTTGCCTTAAAAAATAAAAGAGATAATTATAGATAAAATATCAAGAACTAGACAATAAATGCATTTGCAAGTGAATTTTCAAGATAATCAAGCATAAGCCAAAAACACAAGCAATTGTTTTCCAAGCAAACATGCATGCAAACGAGTGTGTGTATATATATATATATATATATATATATATATATATATATAAAGGAAATTGATATTTGCCAGAGGCCCAAATATTGATTTTCCAAAATAGGAAGACAGATATAGATAGATTGTGTGGGAGGGCCCAAACAAGGCACCTTGCCCACACGATAACCACAATATTTCCAATAAAATAAAAAACAGGAAAATACATGAGAAACCTAAAGAAAAAAAAACTACAAAGTGTCAAAATACGTAGTATCGGGTGGCTAGAGAGCGACCCAATTTTGTCTTGCCTCTGCCTCTAGTTCTAGGAAGATGTCAGCTAATAAATTGGTAAGATGAGTGTCATTGTCAGTAGTAACCAATTTATCATCCAATAAGTTCCCGAGCTCTTCCCGAGCTCGAATCTGCCTCAACTCTTCTTCTTCCTACTAGAATAGACCTGTCATTCTTCATCCAAAGATTGGCTCACATGATCAGTGGATTGGTCTAAATTGTGTCGGACATATGTAGGTTGTTGAACATCAAGAACCACGGTGTTGGAAAGATGTCGGGTTGCACCTTCTCAGCAAGGATGGTAAGTGTCTGATCTTTGGCGATATCCGGTCTTAGATGAGGATGCAAGCGATAGCAAATAGTAGAGTTGTGGCCAAACATACTACAATGAGAGCAATATGGAGGGTGGGGTTCTATTTCAACAATTTGTCAATATCCGGAGCTGGTTGAGAGATATATCTCTCAACTAACCCACAAGCCAAAGAGGGTTTGGTGACAGCAAGCGTGAGACTATCAATCTTGAGAGGCTTACCCACAGAGGGTCTGGTGACAGCAAGCGTTGGACTATCAACCTTGAGAGGCTTACCCTGTTTGTATATAAATAGGTGTTGAACATTAAGAACCGCGGTATTCGAAAGAGAATCGGGTTGCACCTTGTTGACCTCATTTTTGTGAGGTCCTTCTTCTTCATAGATCCTAAGATCTAGTTTTAGGAATTTATGTTGGCCATCTTAGAAAACTAGAAATTGGTACCCACCATTTTAGAAATTCCAAAACACTTCCTATTTTCCTGTGATGTCTAACATTTATGGTCCAAAATCATCGTCCTATGGACGAGCGTTTAAGGGCTATTGTGTGGAGACTCAGGAAGAAGTTTCAAATAGGACTCCAAGCCTTGGGGAAACCTACTCACGACTTTATCTTCACATACGCACATCAAATGCATAAAATTCACTAAATTGCACAAAATCGGACTTCAATTATGCCCAAAGGATGGGTAAAAATGTGAACTTCTCCGGACGACCTCTGATGACAAAATGGACTGCGTCAACGCGTCCAGGACACCAATTTTAATAGAAAAATAGAAACTCATATTGTCATATTTTTGACACAAGAAAATTGACATGCAAATCGATGAACTCGTTAAAACAACCTCCGACGGCGAAATGGATCACGCCAACGCGTCCGGAACGTCAGAATTACTTAAAAATGATACCAGTTTTGTTTTGTTTTGATGCATGGATAAAACACAAATTAAATTTTAATTTTTCAAAATATTAAATATTTTCTTTTATATAAATACCCTTAAATTATAATTATATTAAACCTAAATCCTATTTACACCTCTACCCTCGCTTAAACCCTCATTCGACTCGTCCCGTGGCTCGATCCTGCGGCTCATCTCCTTCTCCTCCGTGTGCCCTAGATCCACGATGGATCCACGCGCGTTTTCCTCTGTCGATTCGCATACACGGCTTGCCTCCTCGAGCTTCCCCTTGGCTTTTCAGCTCTCCAATTGCGAGAAGCGAACTGGCCGACCCTTCTCCTTCTCGAGGCTTTACTGTTTCCCTCTTTACTGTGGCATTTACTACCCCATTGTGTGATTCGTTTCTAGTGAGGTTGGTTGGTCGCTCTTTCTCCTCTCCTCTCTGCCTATAAAACAATTTCCTATTCTACTGTGTTGGGTTGTTGAAATTTTTAAGAGAGAAAGGGAGGGTTTTTGAGAGAAGAAGGCTTGGATTCTTCTTACTGTGGGGGAAAGCTACTTCTTTCTGATTTGTTGTTCGAGGAGAGTTCTTCTTCCTCTCTATTAGCCGATACTCTTGTGGTTAAAGAGTCGGGAGCTAGAAGCCGTGGGGGGCTATTTGCATGAGGCTTTCAGGAAGGATTGTTGCGCGGGGTGTTACTTTCAATTTATTTTAGTACTTTGTTTTAAATCCGCATTAAAAAGGTATTCTCTTCCTCTCCTCTACTTGGCACTATTTCAGATGGCATGAAAGTACTTCCTATCTCATGTGAAAACAACAGAAAATAAGATTTGGGCTTGTTTCTTCAAATTTAAGCATGAATAGTTCCTAGAAAAATCTGAATAGAGCATGTATAGGCTGCCTTTATTCCTCTTGCTTGAGATAATTGGAAGAATCATAATGGTAGTTTTGAGAAGAGATTTATTCCTCTAGAAATGCATGTTAGAGGAAATTGTCAAAGATTTTATTATTGTTATTCATGCTTAGAATAAATGTTGGAAAATGAAGACTTTAAAAGGATTTATTCATGTTTACCTATTGTCTATCACTATTTGATACAAAAGCCGGAACCCTCTTATCTTGGGGCTCGGTTTAGCCTCTATGTTGCTCGGTTCTGTCCATCTTTGGCTCGGTTTTAGTTGTGCAAGGTTAGATAAATACTGGAATCATTGTTCTTATTTTTGCCCATAAGCCGAGCTTGGTTTTGGATCATTTTAAAACGTATAAATGACTGGAATTTGGTTTCAAAGTTTTTTTTTCATGGTGGATATGGGTTCGGCATGGTGGATATGGTTTCGGTTTTGCCTCTATGTTGGGCTGAGTTCTACCCCTTTGCTGCTCGATTTTGGCCCCCCTTCTTTGGGCTCGGTTCTAGTTCTTTTGAGATGGGTAAATACTTAATGTTATTTTCTGGTTTGTCCCTTTGTGTTGGGCTCGGTTTATCCTTATGCTAGCTCGATTTGGCCCCTTGTGTTGGGCTCGATCTAGCCTTTATGCTGTTAAGTTTTGGTCCCCCCTTGTGCTGGCTCGGTTTCTGCCCGTATGCTGCCCCGTTTAGCCTTTATGCTGCTCTATTTTTGCCCTTTGTACTGACTTAGTTTTGCCCCTGTGCTGGCTTGGTTAGTCCTTATGCTGGCGTGGTTTGTTCCTTATGTTCGACTTGGTTGGGCTTCTTTTGAGGTTGTATTCGAGTTTGAAATCCCTTATTGTTAAAATTATTCCTTGAGTTTAGTCTCACTCTTGCCTGAAGTTGGTTTGCATTATGCATGGGGCTCGATTTTCCCTTTCTGCTGGGTTCGGGTTGGCCTTTTACTAGGCTCAGTTTGTGCTCCTTTTGGTGAGTTATGTTGGCTAAAATTCCTTATATGTTTGGACTATTTCTTCGGGCTTAGTTTACCCCTTTGGTGGGTTCAGTTTAAGCTTCTTTTGGTATTATATTTTGGCTGAAATCTCTTACTGGTTAGAATTGACCCTTGGATTTAATTTGATATTTTTGTTAGGCATGGCTTGGTTGGAGGTATCCCTTCTCTTTTGGATTTACCCGAAGGCAAGTATATCGGTTTTGTTTTGGGGCATAGGGCGATGGCACGCCGGTAGTAGAGTAGAATGATATCTCATCCTACAACACCAGAACTCAATTCTGGGACCTGATCTGGGACCTGATGAACTGTAGGAAAAGTATCATTCACCGACATAAGACTAGAGGGAGACCCGTACCTTCTTAGGTTGTTGGTAGTCCTAGGCTCGGTGACGTGATCGACTTGTGGACAACCATTTCTTTTTTCAAAATTAATAAAACAAATTGATAAGAACAGATACAATATTTATAACAATATTTTCATTATAAAAAACAAAATTACAACAATTTTCCTTTTGTATGCTTGAAATACATATGCATGTCAAAACTTAAATTTTAAAGATGCGCCACAAATTGGGTTGTCCACTTGTTGATCACCGAAACTGGGCTAAGGAATACCCTCCTAAGTTAGGTTCAGTAGGACATCCTCTAGTACAGTGTCGAGCTTTACGCATCTGGGTGACCGAGTAGCCTTCGATGACCCTCGAGTACAAATATATATTTGAGTCTAGCCCCAACGCGAATGCTTGCGGTCTCCTCTTTTCGGATTTGTTTTCCCGTATGTTTTCTTGAAATTTTAGACAAGGTACTCGTTGTCTTTTCTTCGAGATTTTTCCGAGATTTTTTATTATTATTTGTCAATTTTTCCGAATTTTTCGTCGTGAATTTATTCGTCGATTTTCTCGAAGTTTCCAAACAACTTTTCTTTATATAGTGAATAATAGCTAGCTTAAAGGAGCAGCAGACTTCTCAAATTTACAGGTGTGATTTACCTTACAGTATTTTTTTTATTTATTTCCTAGAATGTTATATTATTTTCCCAACATGTTATACTGCTCTTTGTAGATTATTATACTCTTTTTTCAGCATGCTATATTGTCTTTTATTTCTACTGTACACTATACTGTTCTTTTCTTTTATATTGTATATTTAGTTATTTTGATACACACTATGTCTTAATTTAGGAAAACCTAGTGGTTGTATAGGATTAACACTAAACCAGGAGGGTACTACTACGAAGACCTTGGAGAGAACATCGTGGGCAGCACGACGAGAAACAACTTCAAAGTAGATCTGCAACAGCAAAATATCAAAACACATCACATAAACATATTCACATCACCTATCTCTTTATTTAGTTTAAATAACAACCCATAGGATCACCCTTTAGGCTTTTGCACAACTCTATTGTGGAATTATAATTCCTAACACTTTAGTATTCCGAGGTTACCGTGCGGTACGGTGTAAATTCTCTTATCTTTTTAGGTTATTT